TTTGCCGAGTCTTGTTTACTGTTTAGTGACATTTCAACGCGTTTCTCCCTGTCTTGTTTCTCCGTGTCTGAACCTAGCTTTGTATCCTAGTTATCCTTTTTAGCCGCCTGCCTTTCGACCCATTGCCTGTTTACTGACTTCGACTCTGGATTTGTCCGCTCATACCTGTTTTGACCATTGCTTGCCTGACAAAGAATAAACCTGCATATTGGATCCTACCTTCTGTTGTGGTGTCACTCCCCGGCCTTACAGAAGACTCGGCCACACAATGGATCCTGCGGGTATCAAGATCATGTGTCTTCGTTAGGAAGCCCGAACAATAGAAGAGTATGTAGAGGATTTTATTTATTTGGCTCATTTAACATCTATGGACGATTTATGTTTAATGATCTTTTTCCGGGGTGGTTTATCTGAACCATTGTATTCCACAATGCCAATTCATGAGGCCCACTGGACAATAGAACATTATATTGATCTGGCGCTGCAACTTAGTGGGTCCCCCTTCACTGTAGGCGAGGTGGGAGAAACCCCTAAATGTTTTTTGGGGGGGACAAAAATAGACTGCGGGGCTTGCAATCCCCTCTACTAACAATATTATGCTGTCATCTACTATACTCATGTCCCCTGTTCACCAGCCCAGTTCTCCATGTTACAAGATGGCCGACTCCAGTCCTCCAGCTCACAAGATGGCCGACTCCAGTCCTCCAGCTCACAAGATGGCCGACTCCAGTCCTCCAGCTCACAAGATGGCCGACTCCAGTCCTCCAGCTCACAAGATGGCCGACTCCAGTCCTCCAGCTCACAAGATGGCCGACTCCAGTCCTCCAGCTCACAAGATGGCCGACTCCAGTCCTCCAGCTCACAAGATGGCCGACTCCAGTCCTCCAGCTCACAAGATGGCCGACTCCAGTCCTCCAGCTCACAATGTGGTCACAACCAGCTCTCCAGCTCACAATGTGGTAAGCGCCAATCTGCCACCAGCTCACAAGATGGTTTCCTGTTCCTTGTCCGTTCCTGCCATAGTTCCTGTTCTAGTTCCTGAAATGCCATCAACTGAGCCCCCAGAATGGCCACCACCACCTGAGCTCGCTGAATGGCCGCCGCCGCCTGAGCTTCCTGAATGGCCGCCGCCACCTCCCGAGCTTCCTGAATGGCCGCCGCCACCTCCCGAGCTTCCTGAATGGCCGCCGCCACCTCCCGAGCTTCCTGAATGGCCGCCGCCTGAGCTCCCTGAATGGCCGCCGCCGCCTGAGCTCCCTGAATGGCCGCCGCCTGGGCGTTACAAGATCATGGCCTCCCAATCATCCCCATCCACTGAATAAAGGAACTATGACGTCAATTTGTATGCAAAAACCCGGAAGCGAGTTAGCATTTTAGCAGTTCCAGTTCCCTCGTCCCAAAGCCATTGCTTTTTTTTCAATGGGGTTTCAGTAAAATCGCTTAAATAAGGTTCGTGGCTAACACAAACTCAAAATACTTTCACATTTTGTTCAACTACATAAGTTACATCACACTCTTGATTTTTTTAAAATCGGTTATGCTTCTTTAAAAAGACGGTTGCTATCAAGTTGCTAATTGGGACTACAGGCGGTGTCGGAGACATTATACGTCATCGAGCTGAACTGGTCTGGAGCGCGGCTCGCTTGTGTTGGGCATTTGGATTTGTCTGTGATTTTAGGTATTTTCATGAATAGTATTATATATTTTGTAGTGTTTTTCTAATTGGGAATTCAGATTGTGTGTAGATAATTCCTTCAATTATGAAGGCTGTCGAGACAGATTCATTTGTTGATAATTCATTTTAATTAAACAATATTATGAAGATACTGCTCACCAATGCAGTCTGTCTCTCTTCTGCCCTCAGTAATGCAAACATGTGAATAAATGTGTAAAAATACATGCAGGTTAACTGTCATTTTAATGTGATTAAGTGATTTTTCGACGGGTTTTTTCTTAATCTGAACACATTTAACTTTGTCATAACTGCAATATCTAGACTCCTCCATAAAACGTATAGCAGATGTGACTGTATGGGCTGCTTTTCACTGTACTTTGTGACAAAAAAAGGAATATTGAATGTTGATCTGTGTCCATGATAATGGAACTTGCATGCATTTGATTGACTTGTTTCTCCTCACGCCTCATTTCTGTCGTCTGTTAAGGTAAGCAGGCTGTGTGCACGCGAGCGATACACTTATTTAAATGTCTTATGATAATACTATATAGGCAGATTTATACACGCAGTTGTAAAACTTTTAGAACAACCGCAAAGAAAAACAGATGTATTTCCCACGTAAAAACGGTCTAAAAGGCACGTAGGTCTATGTGTTTTTGCGAATATATTTGTCTATAATATATACAGTGGATTATAATATTATAAACAGAGAGATTAACTCTTTGTCATGGACATTATTTCTAAAAATAAGCTTGATAAGTCGTCTGTAGCAGGGTGGGGCTGACATCACAGGCGCGCGTCCTGAAGGCACTGTAGTCCGTATGTAGCCTAATGTTAGCTTTTCAGTTTTTGCGTTTGCATTTAAGATCCAAAAGTGCTCAAAGTTGTATTTTCATGTGAGGATTATCCGGCTGGACAAAATGTGTAAGTGTAATGAACTGTGTTCGAACACACAGCTTATTATTTGCAATCTTCGAAAAGCCTATGGGAAAATCCTATTGGGATTTTCACAAGGGAACCTGCTTTATGCTAGCAGCCGATTAGCCTACAAAGTGACGTCATAGTTCCTCCACTCTATTGGTTGTATCATCCAAGTGGATGCTGCATATTGGTGGTGGTGTGGAGACCCCCCTCATGACTGTGAAGCACTTTGGGTGTATGGCCATACACAATTAATGTGCTATATAAAGCGCACATTACATTACATTATTTACTCTGGGCCAAAGAAGAAAGGAACATTCAGATTGTTACCATTGTTAAGTCCAAAAGCCAGAGTCAGTCATGGTATGGGTTGTGTCAGTGAACTGGCAAAGGTAATTTTCTGTGATTGCACCATTAACGTTAAAAAGTACATAGAGATTTTGGAACACAATATGCTGCCTTTTTTTTCCAGAAACATCCATGCATATTTCAACAAGGCAATGCAAAACCACATTCTGCACACATTACCTGGCTGCGGAGGAAGAGGATACAGGTACTTGACTGGCCTGCCTGCCTGCAGTTCTGACGTGTTTCCAACAGAAAATGTGTGGTGCATTTTAAAACGTAAAACTTGACAACGAAGACCACGTACTGTTGCCCACCTTAAGACTTGTTTGCAGGTAGGATAGGATAAAATTACACTTAAAACACTGTTTAACATAATGTCTTCTGTCCCTAAACATCTTTTAGGTGTTGTGAAATGTAATGGCAACATTACAAAGTGATAAATTCTTTACGGTATTAACTTTTAATATCTCTCTACTGAACGTTTTAATCTTTGTCAGTTTTCTTCATCAGCTTCATATGTTTACTTTGTCTGCTGTTGACTGTAGAAAGATCAAAATAGAAACACAACATTTTTTATTTAAAATAAAAAACATGTTAATTACGCATGTTCACATACCCTTGATAATCAGCTATATTCTGATAGCTTGTTGTCGCAGGTGTATTTTCCAGAATCAGTGTGTTACGTTTAACAGAGAGGTTTCCTCTCAGATACTTCTATTTGCACCTCTCCTACCTGCTTTGTTCTGCCTGGTCTTTGCCCCTATGAGATCCTAAACTTCGTTGCCCTGGTCTGTTTCAGACTGCTTTTGGATTCCCCTCCAAGCTGCCTCTAATCTACCGGCCAGTCCAGTGGCCTATTCTTGAAATCTATCAGTCAATCCCTTCAGCCTCTATATTCTGGGTTTCTATCTTTTCTAAAATATGTAGTAGCACATCTTAGCAAGTAGCAAGTATTTTTATTATTTTGTAACCTGCCTAGGGCATTATTTGGTTTCCTACCTTTTGGTAAAAAAAAATCTGTCCTGTCCTGGAGTCCCTTTTGTCTTAAATAATGATTGGGTACTGCCTCGACTCCTGTTTCTGTGATTTCTATTCCTCAGGAGGAGAAGGCTGACCGCTATGGTGTTCCTGTGACCTACCATGATCTTTGTCTGATCTTAAGCAAGTTCTGGGTCGTATTTCTCCCTCAGCACATACCTTACGTGTGCAATCATTTTGTTCCCAGGAACCTCTTCTCCTTGGTGCAGGGCTTGCTCCATCTAAAGTCTTTTGCATGTAGCGATAGACACACATCAGCGGGCCTCATCTGACCCTCCTTTGCCCAAGCAGGTGCAGACTTTTCTTTGTGTAGAAGATGAATGGATAAATGGTATTACTTCAATCTATTATTACAATCTATGGTATTACTGTCTTCTAGGGCCTGGTCAATGATGTGCTGATAAATATGCTAAACAATTTTGTTTCTTTATACAGTGATAATTATTTTTTTATATTATGATATTCTTTCTAGGAACATTATTGTTAAATTGCTGCACCCTTGATGGATCTTATCATCACTAGGATTCCGTTTCGGTGGTATTCTCAGATACTGCCTTTGAGCTAATCAAGACCTGCTTTTCTTCTGTTTCCTATTAGTCTTTCCCAGAGTTTGGGCATTTTATTCTGGAGATGAATGCCTTGAAGGTCAGGGTATACACTTTTCGCTGCTGGCAAAATGTATTTAAATTTTTCAGGCAAGCAGGGTTTTGTAAGATTGACTGGAGAAGAAGGCTGGGCTTTTAGTCAAAAAGGTTGAGGACCTTTTTGTGCACAATGAAATGTAAACATATAACATCCTAACTTGTGAAGCATTAACATTCAAAAGTTGGTAATTCCTTTTATGCATTCTATTATAAAAATTATAAAAAGCTCAAGCGAAAAAGTTTAGTGCAAGTTCACTGAAACTGTGTTAAAAGAATTTTAAAGATTGCAGTAAAATTTCATTGAGATTGGCTACAACATTAGCTAACATGACACACTGAATGTACTTTGTTAAGACAGAAAAAAAACATAAACATTAAATCATTCATTTTGAGTTTATTGAGACTTGTCATGTCATTCAGTGTATTTACATGTTCACCAATTTCTTAAAGTAAATTAGCATACTCTGATTTCTACTAGTGTTGCCAGACGTACGATAATTATCGTATTTGTATGATAATTTCGACCTCTACGATGTACGATCAATAATGAGAAAAATCCTGTAATGTACAATAATTTCAGAATTTTATGGCATTTAAAAGTAATTTCATTGTAATCTTCGGGCTTCTTTACTTATTGATCTAGCTGCATCTTTTCTGTACTGTCTGTGAGGAGTAGGTGGAGTTAGGCACGTTTTCTATCTAATCTTACTTTGCCTCTTCTCAGCCAATCAACGTGGAGAATGGCTCTCTCTCACAAATTAACGCTCCGGCTGCGCGTGCCCGTGGTTAGGTCAGTAGTGTTCAGTTTGAGGTCGATCTTTTAAGCAATAATGTTAAAACAATTTGTGCTGTAAAGGAAGGTGAGAAGGACGGGAGTTTTCCCTTGATGTTCTTGTTTTTTCCCTATTCAAATGCGTCTTGTGAACGTGTTTTTTTTTAAAGTTAGTCTCATCAAAACAAAGCATGCACACCTTAGAGTGTGCACTGCTTTCAAGCCAACCAGCACTATTTTGCAGTCCATTACGGCATCCAATTTGTACGGAAAAATAAATCCCTTAACATCTGGGAACATGCAACATTCAATGACAGCAAATTAGAGGTGGAGTTTGAACCTTCCCACTAAGGTACCTAGTTTTTTTTTACGTATTGTGGTAATTTGCACGTTGTGTGAAAACGCTATGTGTCTAGATAATAGCTGTATACTCTCAGTTTGACTCGTGTACGATAATTTTTCTCCAAATACGATAATTTTGAGGTTCTGGTACGATACTTTGACAATTCCAATCTGGCAACACTGATTTCTACACAGTTTTTAAAATATTAAAAGGCATTACAATTTAGAGTTTACTCTTTATAATTAGCTTAAAACTGTTTATTAATGATAAATATTTATGTAATTAACTCCCCCACCACCACAAAAAAAAATGTTAGTTTTCAGAAAGTTTTGGACAGTGTGATTATTTGTGTAAAGCTGTAAAACAAATGGATTTAAAAAAAGGGTGTACTATAAAGGAGACCTAGATGTCTAATTCTGTCATCATATGTATTTATCCAAACTCTGGATTGCTTGCTCTTTTGTGAATTCACCCCATGCTTCTGAAATCTGATCCCACCTGTGGAATGTTTTCCCAAAGTAATTTTGCAGATCAGTTCGAAATCTACAGACAAACCACTTCCAGTATGGCAGATCAGAGCAGTCAGGAGTAATGCTCCATTCTGCATAAACACCTCCTGCTTTTCTGTATTCTTTGCATGAAAACCATTGATCTGTGAAGAACTTTTTATAAGATTTCACTAAAGTTGTGCAAAAATCTGTACTGATCTGCTCTGTTTCATCATAAATACATCCCGTGAGTCCATTCACTCGATGGAGTGGAACACTGTGATCTCCAGTATGGTTTTCTATTGTGTTGGTGCAGGTGGCACCACAGAATGGGCACAGAACCCAACAGCACTGACAGAGATGATCAATCAGAACTTGATCTGGTCTATCATTGGGTTCCAGGTTTTCTAAAAACATCTCTGTGGTAAACTTATATTGTATTTCAGTTGATAAAGAATCAAGTAATTTGCTTATTACATCTTCTAAAAGGTTGAGATCATCAACTCCATCATGACTTACTCCACTGAAGTCCTTTACAGAGAGTATAAGCATATCCGAAAGCTGCTCGGTGATAACATCTAACCACTTCGGAACACCTGCACCTGTCTTGTTGACTAGTGCAGTCGCCCTATGAGCTGCTTCTGCTATTTGTTTCTTGAGGTGTTCTATGTTCTGCTTCATCTTGGGACGAACACTCTTTCTAAAGTTATCAGTAATGTACTGACTGACTTCATCTCTGATGAAACTCTTAAAGTGGTCTCTGGGATTGGTAATGTAGTTTTTGTATTTGTCAAAATCTTCCTGTTCTGCCAGGTCTTTGAGGATGTGTTTCTCTAGTTTAGATCGGTTTCCATTCAGGGATTCACAGTTTGTCTGAATGTCATTAGCCAAATCTCTGGCAGTGTCTTTGTAGACACATTTTTGGATGGGCTCTCTCAGTTTTTGACAGATGATCTCACCAAAAATGGCAGCTGATGTTGCACCCTGACAGTATTTCTGGAAAATACTGTAGTAAATTTCACGCTTCGCTTCGAAGTAAAAAACAGGATCGTTGGCTTCCCTGAATTTTACATGTTGGTCTGTGATAAACTTGTTCTCTCTATCACAAATGGACATGACCAAATCCAAGTAAAACTCTTTCTGGAACACATATTCCCTGCAATCTTGCTCATAATCTACTGTTCTGGCCTTGATATAATCGGCAAGCTCTTGAACGTAGGTTTTGTTGTAGCCCATTTTTGCAATGTCATATGACATAATTTTTATATCTGCGTGATGAGCAATGTCATCAATAAAGGCTCTAATTTGTGTTTCAGCCTCAATCTTCAGTTTAGCGGATTCTGTAGTTCCACCAGATCTCTTTAACTGTACATAATCTGAATAGCTTTGCACAGAGAAAATATCTCTGTTTCTCCAGTCATTCAAAGAAACACTTTCATAGTTACTAAGGAGCTGTTTCATGTCATTTAATATGTCAATGTTTTGGATTTGAGGAGTTTGTTTGGTAATCTCCTTAACGCACTCTTTCCAAAAGGAATCAAACTCTCTTTTGAGGATTGTTTCATCGTTTGCTTTGTCTTTGAGTTTTACAGCAAGTTCTTTGCTCTTTTCAAAGAGAGTGTTTTCATGTTGTGTCTTTTGTGCATCAATCTTTTTCTTCACGTCTCGCTGTTGAAGAATCTCATTTAATTTTCTTGCTGTTTCTCTCACAATGTTTTCCTGAAGCTCTTTGATTTTGATGTCAAACGATGCTTTCCACTGTATCAGTATATCTTTATCTTCATCATTTTCAAAGAAATCGGACATGGTTTGTTCTACTTCTCCACTTATCACTTTTAATTTTTCATGTAGATCGTTTTGTGAAACCTCATGAAGTGCTTCATTTTCTATTTTATTGTGCAGTTTGTTCTCTACATCCAACATAGTTTTGCGAAGGTTCCAGGACCATTTGCTGTATTCTGTCTCAAGTTTTCGATAAGTTGCGATTTCCAGAGAATTTCTGAAGCTGAAAACAAATCGTTCATTCAGTAAGGCCTCCCATAAGTCAAAAACACGATTTTTTAAGTGTATCAGCTCTAAGCCATTTGATTTTGAAGCGTGGCCAAAAAATGCTTGCTTTAGCTCCTGTATGTTTTCACAGTATGATGGGTTTGGTGGTGCCATTGGTGGACTGCCCTCCCAGAGCTGTGCAAAATATTTCACATCTTCCTGAATATCAAAATTAATGATGTCATTGAAAGACTTGGCATCACAGACTTCATCTTTAGCAGCAAGTTTTGTCATTTCATCCAGAGTCTTCTGAAGTCGTCTTCTTCCCTCCATGGTTTTCTCTCCAGCTGTGACTGCACAAACGTTCTGATGAACAAACATGCAACTGGGATTCAGTTTCACTTTCTTCATTCTCATGAAGGCTTGAACAACAATCTGAAGAATTTCCTGCAGCTCTGACGGGTTTTCTCCAAAGATGTTGATCAATGTCAGATTACCAAGACCCACAACAAATGTGGCCAATTCATTGTCCTGATGTCGTGTTGATCTTCCAGCCAATTCTAAAGCGCGAAGCCCTTCAGTATCAACAACCAGAATATAGTCAAACTTCAGCTGTTCTTTCATCTTCATTTCCTCTGAAACTCTGATCAGTTGCATGAAAGCTCCTCTGGTGCATCTGCCAGCACTAACGGCAAACTGCAGTCCAAACATGGCATTCAGCATAGTTGATTTCCCTGAGCTCTGAATCCCTAAAACTGACAACACAAAGACTCTCTGGTCTCCCAGTTTCTGGATAAGTTCATGAAGAACAGCAGTAACCCAAACCACAGGAACATGAGCAGCATCTCCATCCATCAGCTCCAGAGGAAATCCAGAGATCATCATGTCTGCCGCAAGACCTGGGAGAGAAGTAAAACTACATGGCAGACCTTGCTTGTTTTTGTTCTCTGATATACACGATTCATAGATCTGACCAATCTCCCTCAGGATGTGCTCCAAGCCAAAGGTTGCAGCTTGAAGTTCTTCTGATATGCTTTCAAGATCTGCATGGTCATCTTTTGCCTGTTGATGAGCTTTGACTTTTGTCCATTTTTCATCATACTTGTAATGCAGAGCAGAAAGGTCAGCTGAGGTATATTCATCCAGGAGTATACTGAGCCATTTGAGAAAAAACATCTTCTCATCTGAAGATTGTGAATGCATTTCTTCAATAAACAACTTCATTACCTCCCCAGTTTTCAATGCATGCTGCTCCTCACGGATTTTTTTCATTTCATTTTGTTTTATCTTCATGTCAATTTCAGTTCTCCTAGATCGATGTAGTTCTTTGTTCTTCAGACACCACTGATGCCACAGTTTCCCCTGACAGGGCAGAAACAATTCTTTAATTGTGGTCAGATTTCTTCCTGTAAGTAAACTCATCATCTGCTGGGCTGTTTCTTTTCCTCTTTTACATTTATCATCATGTTCCTCATCTACGTTGATTTCTAAATATCTGGACAGCACTTCAAGTCTGAAAACAGAAGGTGATTCGGATAATGAGAGACATTTATTTATAGCTGCAACAAGTTCTTCAGATACATCTGACTGATTTCTGTCTTTTAATCCAATTTTGTATTTCCTTTTCTTTCTCTCAGTTAAGCCACGGTCACTGTCAGTTACAAGATAAATTAGTGGCTTTTTGTCATTGAACAGTGCCTGAATCATTGAAGCACTCTTGTCATTCTTGTCAAGCTGTGGTAGAATAATAACATTGACTGAGGCCATTTTGGTGAGGATCTGCATCTGCTTCTCTTGGACTCCTGCATCACCATGAAGGTTACAAAAGGCAACACATTGAGTAAATTTATCAGTGTCTTTTCCAGACGGACAGTACCAGGCGATCTCCACCACTCCATCCATCAGTACTCTGTTTTTTATGCTGCCTGAGCAGTTTCTGTGGAAGAATGTGTTGTGTTTCTCATTGATCAGATTGTTCATTAGCTGAGATTTGGATGAAGACACTGGGCCAAACCTGAAGAAAAACACCATTGGTGTTTCTGCCTTCCATACTGGCTGGGTTTCACTGCTGGTTTCACCAGCTGCATTTTTCATCTTCCAGTTCTTGTTGATTTGTCTGAATGTCCAAAGTGGAAACAAAATCTCTTGTGTGAATGGATCAGGAACAAGAAGAGGCAGTGCATACTGACACTGAGACAGTTTTGTGACCATCAACTGCCTCAAGAAACTATCAGCACAATGAAACACAGCCATCTGAACATCCATTGGATGAATAGGATCTCTTGTGTTTGTCTCTTTAGGAAACCAGTGACTTTCTGTATAAATATCAGTATTACTCTCATCTTCAGACAAGTCATCACTTTGTTGTCCATCATGTTGCTCATTAGTCTCTTTAGTTTTAATGCATCTTGCCCTATAGTTCATCATCAGTAGTTTTTGTAGGAAAACATGTATCAGCTCCTCCTCAGCACAAGACTCTAATGACAGGGATGAATGTGTAGATAGTTGAAGAACATCTTCAGCTCTCAGTTTACTGGGATCAATTTTATCAGTGTTAAGTTGAAGTCTATGAAACAATTGCTTTATTTCATCACTCCTTCCAGTTTCCTTCTTCTGTCTTTCACCATGCATTGGTGGCTTCTTTTCCTGCGAAATAAACAGCACAGTTAAAATAATACATGATTACATGATTATTTTCAGAAATAATAACTTTTTTAGGTCTCAAAGTGCTGGCAACAAACCTAGAAAACGTTCGAGGTTACAGAAGTAACCCTTCATTCCCTGAGGAGGGGAACAGAAGTGCCATAGAGTGGATTAAATCCACGAATGGGAGATTCGGATCAGAAGCTGCTTGTCTGGAGAGTTATTGAACGGGCCAATGAATGAAATTAATTGGCAGCGTAAGCTTGCGCAGGTGTGCTGCATCGGCAATTATCCCAGCATATAAGCACACCTGAAGCCAGCAGACGCTATCCTTTTAAGCTGAAGAGACTTTCAAACAGCTAAGGGACAGTCATTATGGCGACGGAGTATGGCACTTCCGTTCCCCTCCTCGGGGAACGAAGGGTTACTTCGATGAGGGGATAGTCAAGCAAGCGTGACGCACCCACATCATGGGAGGCGTGGTCCTCCAACGTGTCCCTGGCCCTAATTTATCCTACTTCAACAGAAGTTTTACGGATTTAGATATATTTTTTGGGAAGTCGTGAGCATCTAGATAATTCTAGGAATACGACAGTACGTTGGGAAGCGTGCAATCCCGATAGGGAGGACGCTGCGGAGGCCATCCGTTACCCAAAGGGGGGATAGATGGCAGAATTACATATGGACTAGCCCTAAAAAGGGGGAGTACGCATAGCAAAAGAGTGGTTAGCGGAGAGGGAAGACACGGGTCGGCTCAGGGGGGGGACTTAACCGTGGCGGAATAAGCATATGGGATCGCGTAGTGGGGATCACGCATAGCAGGCACCTATACCCAAAACGCGGGCTGACCAGCGGGCAGACCTACAACGTAGTGGGCCAGCAAGTGACTCCTCCGCTGAGTCAGTGCTGGGGGCCACGGAGGAATCTGCAGGGCTCACCTGACGGGGAACTTTACTGACAGATAAAAAGGCGCACGTACCTCCGTGTTAGGGAGAATGGCGCAGCAAGCGTGTTTCAACACCCTACCGAGTTGTTTCCTCAATCACCAAAGGGTTACCTAATACCCTTGAGGAAACCGGCTCCACTCGCAGATTGTAAAACCTTGCAAATGTGTTGGGTGTCGCCCAGCCCGCAACTCTACAGATGTCTGTTAGAGAGGTGCCGCGTGCACGCACCCAAGAGGATGCAACTCTCCAAGTGGAGTGTGCACGCACTCCCGGGGGACACGGCTGACCTCGACTCGAATAAGCGAGTGAAATGGCATCCACAATCCAGTGGGATAATCTTTGTTTCGATACGGCACTTCCCTGCTGCCGACCGCCATAACAGACAAAGAGCTGCTCAGATGATCTAAAATTCTGAGTACGGTCCACATAAATGCGCAGAGCGCGAACTGGACAAAGTAAAGAAAGGGCTGGGTCTGCCTCCTCCGGGGGCAGCGCTTGCAGGTTCACTACCTGATCTCTAAAGGGGGTGGTAGGAACCTTGGGCACATAACCCGGGCGGGGTCTCAGGATGACGTGAGAGTAATCCGGCCCGAATTCCAGGCACGAGTCACTGACTGAAAATGCCTGCAGGTCCCCGACCCTCTTGATGGAGGCCAACGCAACCAGCAGAGCTGTCTTCAGGGACAGAAATCTTAGCGATACTGATTCGAGTGGCTCAAAGGGATCGGATCGCAAACTCGTGAGAACGAGGGCGAGATCCCAAGAGGGCATGAGAGGGGGGCGATATGGATTAATTCGCCTAGCACCCCTAAGGAACCGGATGATGAGGTTATGCTTTCCCACTGTGCCGCCAGCTACCGCGCTATGATAAGCGGAGATGGCGGGCACGTAAACCTTGAGAGTGGAGGGCGACAGCCTGCTGTCCAACTTCTCTTGAAGGAAAGAGAGCACAACACTAATCTGGCAGTTTCGGGGGTCTTCTCTCCGAGAGACGCACCATTCAGTGAATAGACTCCACTTCAGGGCGTAGGCGCGCCTCGTGGAGGGGGCTCTAGCCTGAGTGATGGTATTAACCACCGCAGTCGGTAGGTTACCTAAGTCTTCCTCGCGTCTAAGGACCACACGTGGAGGTTCCAAAGATCGGGGCGAGGGTGCCAGATGGTGCCCTGTCCCTGAGAGAGTAGGTCCTCTCTCAAAGGGATCCGCCAGGGGAGGGCCGTCGCGAGGAGTGAGAGCTCTGATATCCAGGTCCGGTTGGGCCAAAGGGGCGCAACTAGCAGAACCTGTTCCTCGTCCTCCCTGACCTTGCACAGTAGCTGCGCGAGCAGGCTCACTGGGGGAAACGCATACTTGCCCATGCCCTGAGGCCAGCTGTGGGCCAGTGCATCCGTGCCGAGAAAGCCCTCGGTCAGGGAAAAAAACAACTGGCAATGAGCGTTCTCGGGGAAAGCAAACAGATCGATCTGGGCCTCCCTGAATCGCGCCCATATCAGCTGAACAGACTCTGGGTGGAGTCTCCATTCTCCAGAGCGTAACAGCTGTCGTGAGAGCGCATCGGCTGCACGATTGAGCGTGCCTGGAACGTGAATGGCGCGCAGCGATTACAGCCGCGGGTGACTCCAGAGGAGCAGACGGCGGGCGAGCTGAGACATGCGGCGAGAGCGCATACCCCCCATGCGGTTGATATACGCCGCCGCCGCCATACTGTCCGTCCTGACCAGTACGTGTTGCCGCTCCAGCGGTGGAGAGCGAGGAACACTGCCAACAGCTCTAGGCGATTGATATGCCAATGCAACTGGGCACCCTTCCATAGGCCCGCAGCCGCATGCCCGTGTGGAAATATAAATTTCTATCAACTAATTCCAAATGAACAATAATCTACGTATAACTGAAAAGTTATATTCTTTGGTTTTTAATAATATAATTTCATTAACATCCCAGCTAGGAGGGACATTTAACCTTTATCTTTCTGACTACAGGCTAAGTCAGTGATGCAAATGCTTTAAACGACTCTGTCTTTGTCTTCGGGTGTTGCTTTTATGCTACAGAAACCCTATGTTGATTAACTTGTGTGGTCAGTAGCTGGGCCATTTTTTAACACCTATGCCAGGCTGACTCCATTTGTATGCTTTGTTTAGCCATATCCCCTCCTCCTAAGAACACAATATAGACATGAAATCTTTGTCTCAATTCAGACTAATTCAGACTTGTGTGAGACTTGTGAAAGAACTTGCAGACTGCAGACCTCTAGTAGGCTCTTGCAGACACATGGAAATCTAGAAGACGCTGTATGACTGCAGATTAACCAACACGTCTCAATAAAGGAATTCTGCTTGTTTCGAGTCTCCTGGACTGGGTTCTCTCCTCTTCTTTTTCACTCATTTTTTTTTTTTACAACACCCGCGACACACGGCCCCCCAACCCGTGTTGGAAGCATCTGTTAAAACAACAACATGGCTGGACGCCTGTCCACCGGCCTGTAGGAACGAGGGGTCGTTCCAAGGGCTGAGGGCGCGGCGACACAGCGCAGTAACAGAGACCCGGTGTGTGCCCGCGTGCCATGCGCGTCTTGGGACCCGTTTGTGTAGCCAGTGCTGAAGTGGTCTCATATGGAGCAATCCGAGCGGCGTGACGGCGGCTGCGGATGCCATATGCCCCAGGAGCCTCTGAAAGAACTTTAGTGGGACCACTAGTTTGCTGTCGAGCTCCCTCAGACAGTTCAGCAACAGGTGAGCGCGTTCCTCGGAGAGATGCGCTACCATGGTGACCGAGTCCAGCTCCATCCCGAGAAAAGAGATCCTCTGCACGGGGGTGAGTTTGCTCTTTTCTCGGTTGACCTGAAGCCCCAGTAGGCGGAGATGCCGAAGCACCTTGTCCCTGTGCACAATCAATTGCTCCCGCGAGTGGGCTAAAATCAGCCAGTCGTCGAGATAATCGAGTATGCAGATGCCCGCGAGCCGAAGGGGCGCTAGGGCACCCTCCGCGAGTTTGGTGAAGACCCGTGGAGACAGAGAGAGCCCGAAGGGGAGGACCTTGTACTGCCACGCTCGACCTTTGAACGCAAACCGCAGAAATTGGCGGTGGAAATACGCGTCCTTCAGGTCTATGGCTGCAAACCAATCCCGAAGACGAACGCATTGGAGAATGCGCCTCTGCGTGAGCATTCTGAACGGCAGCCTGTGCAGACATCGGTTCAAAACGCGCAGATCTAGGATTGGCCGTGACCCACCGCTCTTTTTGGGTACGATGAAGTATGGGCTGTAAAACCCACTCTCCATCTAGACTGGAGGAACCGGCTCGATTGCACCCTTCGCCAGGAGGGCAGCAATCTCCTCTCGAAAGACAGGGGCGGACAGGGGGTTGACCCTGGATAAATACACGTGAACTTGGGGGGCCGTTTCGCGAACTGAATCGCGTAACCGAGTCTGATTGTGCGTATGAGCCACCGCGAGGGGCTGGCCCGCGCTAACCAGGCAGGCAGAGCCCTCGCTAATGGAGTCATCGCTACAATCGCTGACGTACCAGCGGTGGGGCAGCGCGGAGTGGGTGTGCTGATCCGGGAAGCACGAGGGTCCCGCGGAAGAGCTGGAGGAGAGCGATTCGCTCTGGCTCCGCACCCGGACTCCGGAGAGGGGGCTGGAGGGCTGAGGGAAGGGAGACCATCCCCCCAGCGCTCGTGAGCCACTGGCGAAGCACATAGTATCTGCGAGCCGGAAGACAGCGCGTCCCGGACTGGCAGAACTTGTGCAGTCACATCCGGGGAAGGGGAAAAGTGCTCTTTTATTGATGTTTTGGTGGCACTGAAAAGTACCGTTGTTATCGGGGCCCCGCCCTCCAGCGGGGAAAGAGCAAGTTTCCTCTTCTCCGGATGGCCTGTCTCAGGGACGCTTCGCGGTCCGTTTACCGGACTTAACGGTGCCCTGGGCAGGGGGGGCTGCCTGCTTTCGAGGTGTACGCCGCGCCCGCTTGGCCGGAGGCGCAGGCGGGGGCGGGGCAGCACTCGTTGGCGGGCGCCCTCGGCGAGGAGCAGCGGAGGTGGATGGCTCGGCGGGCGGAGCGGGCTTACGGCCACGCCGATAGATGACATTGCCCATCGCATCCGACTGCTCTTTCACCGCCTTGAATTCCTGGGTGAATTCACCGACGGTGTCGCCGAACAGGCCAGCCTGGGATATGGAAAGCGATATGGAAAAAGATATGGAAAGCGAACTTTGTCAACATCGCGCATATCGGCCAGGTTTAGCCAGAGGTGGCGTTCCTGAACCACAAGTGTGGACATCGTCCTCCCCAGCGCACACGCGGCGGACTTAGTAGTCCGAAGAGCATAGTCGGTCGCGGTGCGCAGCTCATGTAATAAGCTTGGGTTGGACCCGCCCTCGTGCAGCTCGGCCAGCGCCTGCCCTTGGTAGCGTTGGTAGGTGGCTATCGCGTGCAAAGCAGAAGCAGCCTGGCCCGCAGCCTTATAAGCTCTGGCTCCGAGGGAGGCAGACAACCTACAGGCTTTGGACGGGAGGCGGGGCAATCCCCGCCACGTAGAGGCGCCGCGCGGACAAAGATTGACCGCGATAGCGCGCTCCACTGACGGGATCGCCTCATACCCCCTGGCAGCTCCGCCGTCAAGGGCGGTGAGGGCGGGGGTACATGCAGCACGGGCAGAGAAAGGTGCCCTCCAAGACTGCGTGAGCCTACTGTGCACTTCCGGGAAGAAGGGGACGAGAGGCTTCGAAGGCTTCGCCTTTTGGTCCTCTACGTAGCACCCATCTAGTCGGTCCGGCCGCGGAGCTGGGGGATGAACCATCTCCAATCCCATGGCCGAAGCAGCCCGGGAAAGCACGGCTAACATGTCCGATTTAGGATCCGATTTGACGGCGCTCACCTGCCCGGAGGGGGCGAGCGGGTCCGGATCTTCGTCGGACAGTGAAAGCCCACCCTCCGATGCCGCGGAGGAAATCTGATCTCCGGTGTCAGCGAGTGTGAGAGCTACCATCTGGTTAGACGGATCACTCCCACTACCCGAAGCTTGGATGGAGCGCCGTGAGGAGGGAGAGGTCCGCGAGCCCGTGGGCGGCGGATTATCTCCCGCTGGAACCCTCAGATCTGCCCGAGCGCCCGGTGCTTTTTTAGAACAGGAGGCAACTGGGGTGGCTCGCTCTCTTGCGAAAGTTAGCCGCGATCTTAGCTGTGCAACGGTCATGGCATCGCAATGACGACATAAACCACCCGCGAGCACCGCATTAACATGCTGGACCCCCAAACATGCAATGCAGTGATCGTGTCCATCATCCGGAGCCAGGAAACCCCCGCATCCAGAAACACACAGTCGGAGCGCCATCCTGAAAAGGACGTGCTGCACGACTGTGTTGCTCTTTTAGGAAGTTTGCAACAATACGCACCGCTCTGGAGGACCGCACCCAAAGAACCGCAGGCAAGGGAGAAACTCAGCTCGACCGTCTGCCACCGCGACGACCCACTCTGGACCGGGAGACACACTCGTTCGCTCTGAAGTGCTGAACAGCAAGAGGAACCCTCATCGACTCACTTAGAAAGGATCTGAAGCTAAAAGGATAGCGTCTGCTGGCTTCAGGTGTGCTTATATGCTGAGATAATTGCCGATGCAGCACACCTGCGCAAGCTTACGCTGCCAATTAATTTCATTCATTGGCCCGTTCAATAACTCTCCAGACAAGCAGCTTCTGATCCGAATCTCCCATTCGTGGATTTAATCCACTCTATGGCACTGAAGTTCCCCAACCGAAGGGGAACTATGTGTGCGAATATTTTTTAATATGTTTGTTAAAGTGGTCCATGTTAGAAATCAAATATACAAAACCATAATTTTTACATTATAATATAGGTATGCTTGTGAAGACAGAAAATGCTTTCATACCTGCCTCGTTTAGTTTGGTTGAATGACACAAGAGTTCAGTTTATGGAGATTTGTTTCAGCTGATATAAATGTAGCAAATGAGTGAGCAGCAAAAAAGCTGACCAAACAAGTTTACCAATTCCTGTTTTAAGAGGTGATGTCAGTGTGCTTTCAAACAAACACTAGAGTTCATTTGTTTTGAGAACATGACTTGAACTCTTAACAGATCATTGCATATCTTTGGACTCAACCAGCTGTCATATACAGCTACTCTCTTTATTATGGGACAAGGGCGGGCAAGCAAGTATTTGTTTACATTGCTTTAGCTCCATGGTGGCTTCTGGTCAAACTTCTGAATCTGTGCTTCATTCCTAAAATGTATAGCTTACATAGAAAATGATGTATACAAATGATAAAATATACTGTGACCGGAGATACAATCAGGCAGCCCAGACATTTCTCCATACTAATAAGCGTCATGTTTTCTGCTGCCTTTTTTCCTCTCTGTTTTTACCTTTAGGAGTTCTTTATGAATATGTTATATTTGACCAATCAAAAGAGATATGTTCAATAACACATCTGGCCAATGCATGATAATTATGTTGTCAGATGACTGCAATTGTGTTAGTTTCAACTGGTTTAGTCCAGAGCAGTCATTGTGGTGTGTGGTGAGTCCCCCGGTGCCAGATCAGCATTGCTGTGGTCCTTTTTGTTTGAACACAATTATGGGCTGAGAGCTGGCAGCTAATCCCAATCAAGTCGGTTGCTTGTAAGCATAACAGTTGCAGAAGACGGTGAGCCACGACTCCACATGGAGCCTCAAATGTGTGTTTTTTCTCTGTATTTACAGAGACCAGTGTCTGATGCCAGCTTGCTCACTGGGACACTTCTATAAGAGCACTGCACTGCATCCACACCAGGACCTGCACAACAGATTTCTGCACATGCACCCTTAACCTCAGCTCATAAGCAAATCAGCAAAAAACAGTCTCCAGCAATTAGATACAGCTATTTTAATCTTTACGGCTTATACACACTGGGGCACTTTTTACTTATGTTTGTTGTCAGCATTTTTAAAATGTTTTTCTGTATTCAAACCTAGGCGATTTTCATCTGTGTTGAACAGAGTAAACATGCCAAATCACCCCCAAATGTTAGATGGCACTTAATAAACTTGCAAGTCAAGAAAAAAAGTGAACTTAAATTCTGAATTCTCTTTGCTATTCTCCATTCCTACTGACATTATTGTAGTTGCTGTTGTGTTTATCCTACAGTTCTTTGTGTTCAGACACCAATGCTAAAAAGCATTGTTTTTCGGCACATGTACGCTTCATGTAAATAAATCCTGTTCTTGTAAATAAACCCCTTCTGAGGATTTATGTTGTACCTTACTCTAATGTATTCACTCTACCTGTGATAAGTTTGAAAAGAAAAAAAAAACTTGCTACAATGTACCATTTGCTCCCTTTGGTCTGAACCAAACCACAGGTATGAAAGCATTCTAATATTAAATATACAAAAATAAACACCAAAACCATGAAAGGTAAAGTGAAACTACTTTAAAAAAACATAAAGCTGTATGTCCACATTAATAGAATTCTTACTAACTTCCTGCTGCAGTTTTATTTTTACACCACACCCAACACTTACCTCATGTCTCTGTTTTGTTATTGCTCTCGAGATGTTGTCCATACTATCTTCAGTACTTGTAGTTTGATCTTGGCATAGAGCAGAAAAAGGTGATATTAAAGCACAGAAGTGTTAAATCTAACAATCTGCAGAGTATGTACAATATTAATAGTGTACTTTATATATTTTGAACAAACACAATCCTGCACAGTAATGTAATTTAACCAAAAACAGAATATTGTAATCTAATATAAGTTAGTGGCTTTATATCCTTCTCGTTTGCTTTTTTATTCTCATCTCCTTATAATAGTTCATTATCAAGTGTTTGTTTTATTTTCATTTAGTTCCTGTGTTTAAATCTTTTTCCTGTGCCTTGATTTGGCATTTCTGGCTAAACATATCATTCATACTGTATGTTCTTGATTTTCTTTGGTTTTTCATTCATACATTTTTCTTTAGCTTAGTCCCTTTATTCATCAGGGGACACCACAGTGGAATGAACTGCCAACTTATCTAGCATATGTTTTACACAGCAGATACCCTTACAGCTCCAACCCAATACTGGGAAACACTCATACGCTCTCAGATTCACACACATACACTACAGCCAATTTAGTTTATTCAATTCACCTATACTGCATGTCTTTGGGATGTGAGAGAAACTGGAGCACCAAAAAGAAACCCACACGAACACAGGGAGAACATGCAAACTACACACAGAAATGCCAACTGACCCAGCTGGGACTCGAACTAGTGACATTCATGCTGTGAGGGGACAATGATAACCCCTGAACCACTGTGTTACTGTACCTTTCTTTGTTCTTACTTTCTCTAATTAAAAGATGGCCAACATTAGATAGAGATAGAGAGAGTGGGGATGGGATCAGAAAAAGTCTGTGAGCCAGGATTAGAAATTGGGACAGCCAAAGTGTGGAGAGTGACATATATTGCTATTGCCCTTCGGGTGTCCCAATTTCTAATCCTGGCTCACATGTTCCTGATCCTATCCTCTCTATCTAACCAACTTTGCTTCCTGTTTAATATTCTGTCCTATCCTAATATACAAAAACACTAATAAAACAATTAAATGGAACAACAAAAGCTGTACTAAAATTTCAAAAACAACTGACAATTTTGTTGAAGGGTTATGAAACCCCCTTCTTTCGTTTCAAGTCTACCTCGAGATGGGCATGGAGCACTGCAAGCAGAGGGAGGAGTAAGTGAGGCCCGCAGAGCAGGAGAGAACGAAGGGAGCAAACAACTGTTGTCAGTTGGCTCACAAAATAAGACACAAACAATGAGGATTTAATAATTTACATAGGTAAAATGCAAAGACATCAATTGCAAGTAATTGAATGCCCTGCTACATATGTTATTCGCAATTTCATATAGGCCTACACATAACCACACTTTGTTATATACATTTATACAACAGTTCTGTCTGGTTCTTGAATCTGATTGGCTGATAGCCGTGCAATATTTTGCCAGTAACACAAAGGCCTCTTTACCCTTTCCCTTTGTGTATTACTCCGCCCACATATAGTCAGCAACAAGCAGAGACACACTACAGTTTGACAAATATTACTGCTGTTAGACAACATAATGCACTTTTGATGCTTTTTTAGTCGAGAATGTAGTTGTTTAGATTGCAACTATGCAGTTTATTTATAAGAATAGTGCCTATTTTAAAGTATTTAAAAATTCTGAACGAGCTTGTCGACGGCCATTAGCCTGCCATAGAGTAGGCCAAAGATGGTTGACGTTTTCTATCCACAAGATGGCAACAGAACCACAAAGTAAGGCCTAACGCTTAGAAGATAACAGTCTGATTTCTAATTACAGCAAACCAAATCATTATTAAACTGGTAAGCATACCTGCCAACAGGTACAGTACCTGGGTTGCCAACTTTGGTACAGTACCTGACCGCAGGCTTAATTATTGTGATATCCCGATTGCAACAGAGAAATACGGTAGACTAACACTGTAAGAAGATATCTCTGTAGATTAGGGATGGGAAGATTAATCGATATGTATCGATACGCCGTCATGCGCGTGCACGATGCGAGTGCATCGGTTGAGCAGCAGAGGATGAATGAAATTTTGGAAGCAAATCTAGATGCATCGGTTTTTGCGAGATGCATCGGTTTTTCCAAGATACAGCTTATATTTTTAATAAAGAATGTATTTTTTATTTATTAACAAGTGTTGTCAACCTTTTTTTGGCGCATAATTTAATCGACCTACATAAAGTAAGCCTTAGCAACAGACTTGCGGATGTGTACACCACAACTCAGTGTATCAGGTGTGCGGATGAAGCTAGTGGTGCGCCCTCAGAAAGCGCGAGAAGCAAAACAAACATTTTATTCCCCACTGAGTTTTAAATCTAAAGTATGGCAACATTTAAGAATGGACGACATGACAGGACAGATGCAATTTGCAAAATGTGCCGCGCATCTATAAAATACGCGGGCAGTACGACTAATCTGAAATCTCACTTGAAGCGGCGCCACGGTGTTGTTGTGAAAGCATCTTCCAGTGTTCCTGCATCCCCGGCTTTCGCACTGCTTCAACTGTAGCTACCAGCTCCAAAAGTGGTGAGAAAAGCATTGCAAGTTTTTTTCCATGCGCAACAGTTTTGTGCGCTCTACGCCAATAACGGATGTTACTGCATTGTTTATCTGCAAAGATATTCAGCCTAGTGTCACGGAGAACGAAGGTTTTAAACGCATCCTCCTGTTAATTTTTATTTAATTATAATAATAATAATAATAATGATAAAAATAATGGGTGTCACGGTGGCACAGTGGGTAGTTTGACCACCTCACAGCAAGAAGATTGCTGGTTTGTTATTTTTATTAGCCTGTTGTTTACAGTGACAGTGATGTTTCAAAGCAGCATAACACTGCTAGTTCACCACCTTAAATTTTGAATATTCAGTGACACAATATATCTTTGTAAAACTTGTTTTCATAGTTGAAAGGTTAAATCACAATTCTTGTTGTGCAATGGTAAACCTTTATGTTGAAGGGTGCAAATAAATAAATATTTTAATATATATTGCACTTATACATTCTGTTTATCTTGAAAATACTTAAATAATATGTGCTATAGGTTCTAAAATGGCCCTCTACTATAAACTGACACTCTGGCTCTGAGAGAAGAGCCAGTTTGTAAAAAAAGTCTTGGTTTTGCTTGGTTAATAAATAATCAAACTCATTCAATGGCACAGCATCCTCTTTTACATAATCTCATAAACTTGATCTAATTAGTTAGTGCTGAATTATCGCATTGTATCATGATATGGATGTGAATCGTATCGTGTTGCATCGCATATGTCACAAATGTATCGCTAATATATCGGATCGTATTCTTTGTATCGAGATGCGTATCGGATCGGCATTATAGCTTAGATGCCCAACCCTACTGTAGATGGATGGCATTTCACGTCACGTTCAGCTTTATAATCTTAAAGTGTGAGCAAAATCAGCTGTTTTGTCATCACTTTAGACATTACGCTAGAGTCATTCAAACACTCGCTCTACTGTTGTTTTGTCTAGCTTCTGCTGTTTTGACATCAGCTGCAGATGTGAAAGAATAGTGGAAGAAAGTAGTTCCTAAAAAAAAGGGTTTTCAGACTCTCCGTGTTTGATTTTCTTATTTATATACACGACTGTGCCTTTGCACTGTCGTATAAATGCAATATCAAACGCGTAGCAGTGCGAAATGGCTGTATATCAGCACTGGTGGGATGCTAAGGCATGAGGCCGCAGTGATGATATACAGCCATATTGCACTGCTATGAGTGTGATATTGCTCATATATATCATGAAGATAATCATGTAAACACTAAATGAGTAGTACTTCACTCTCCTGAATCCGCAGGTCAAAATGCAGTGGACAATAGTCCAGCAGGTCTGCCCTATCTATTTCAACCATTAGCCCTGCTGTTAAACATAGGTGATCACAGCAGCACGGATATAAGTAATGTGTCTGAATGGTTACGAACTCAACTGATGAAAGGCAAAGTCCGACATTCTACAGTTCTCTTACAGCTCTCCCAACAAAAATGCTTGCTGCAAACCAACAGCTTTGCTGTATTGGCCCTAAGAGCATCGCGGAGGAAATACATGCAACAAACCCTATGGATCATGGAAACAAACACATACGACCATTTATGAACGGCTAAATACTGCTTGCCATGTGCGAACCATGTCTCACCCAGTCATTGGGTCTTACCGCTTCCTGCACATGGTCTCATGAATAATTATGAAGCAGGGACTTCTCATAGGATAAGAAAATTCTGCTATGAATAATAATGAGAAATCACAGATTTTGAACCCAGCCAAAATTATTTTAAACTCGAAGATGAAATAAGCTGACAAAAGCTCAAAATTATCCAGTTTTCCGTTGTCTTAACCTGATGCTCAACACACACAAATCTGTTAAAGTAAAAACTATTTAAGGGTGTCTTGAACCTTTAATAAGCACTTCTGTGGGGAATTTTAAATATTTCAAAACTCCAGGGGCCTCATGTATCAATGCTGCGTACGCACAAAAACTTTGCATACGCCAGGTATCACGCTCACGTGTGGATTTACTAACAATGAAATGAATGTCTGAATGTGCGCTGGTCCACGCTAACTTCATGCCTGACGTACGCACATTTCTTGTGCGTTTCTGTTTTATTTCCATTGCCGACTCCTAGAGGCAGTTGTGTTAAATTGCACACTACAATGTATCTTTGAGCTGTGCATAGGCAAGCTGTATGAAACGGGTTTATCCGCATATCTAGCAGGTATATAAGGTTTCCATACCATGCAATTGACCAGCCAAACAATAAAGCGCAACTTGCAGCAGTCGCCGGTTTTCCCAATGTAACATGAGTGTTCGACAGCATGCACATTGCTATAAAGGCGCCATCTGAAGATGAATTTGCATACGTGAATCAGAAACATTTTCATTGAATAAATATGCAAAAAAACATGATGCACAGACTTATTAATGATTCCTACTTGTCTTACTCATGATGAAGAGTATAGGCAAAATCTGATATGTAGCGGGGTGTGGGGGTGGGGGGAAAGAATAAGATCATCAGACTCTGGATTCGAACCAAGTTCATGCTCGAACGTGTCAAAACATGATGTCATGTGCTTTACTAGCTACGCTACTCACTGTGTTAAAGACACTACAAAATTGTACACCTATACATCGCACTATTTCTTTTTTAATCCACACAGCGCGATACTCAGACCCAACTATGTTAACCGCATCAGCTAAACTCTCCCCACTCTATTTTGTTCTTTTATTATTAATTCCTGTAGGACAAACTTGCAAGTAACAGTTTTTTCTCCGGTATACCTCCGAAAGCAGCACCGTGAAATCTCATTCTGTTCAAAGTTTCTCTTTTTGCTTACTTTTTCATTGCTTTTTTGTTGCAATGGCAAGCTGTATGAGACTGGTGCATCCGCATGTCTAGCAGGTAAATAAGGTTTCCATACCATGCAGTTGACCAGCCAAACAATAAAGCGCAACTTGCAGCAGTCGCCGGTTTTCCCAATATAACATGAGTAATCTACTGCACGCACATTGCTATAAAGGCGCCATCTGAAGATCAATTTGCATATGTTAATCAGAAACTTTTTCATTCAATAAATATGCAAATAAAACATGATGCACAGACTTATTAATGATTCCTACTTGTCTTCCTCATGATCTAGAGTATAGGAAAAATCTGATATGTAGCGGGGCGTGGGGGTGGGGGGAAAGAATAAGTTCATCAGACGCTGGATTCAAACCGAGTTCATTAGAACTGAGACACTACAAAATTTTACACCTATACATCGCACTATTTCTTTTTTAATCCACACAGCGCGATGCTCAGACCCAACTGTGTTAACCGCATCAGCTAAACTCTCACCACTCTATTTTGTTCTTTTGTTATTAATTCCGCAGGACAAACTTGCAAGTAACACAGTTTTTTCTCCGGTCTACCTCCGAAAGCAGCACCGTCAAATCTCATTCTGTTCAAAGTTTCTCTTCTTGCTTGCTTTTTCATTGCTTTTTCGTTGGGTTTTGCCAAAGTAGAGTCATTAGCATATTCATACGGGGGAGGAGGCAGGGAGGGGTTTTGCGCTCGTGCATTCATGCTCGTGCGTGCATCATTCGGATGTACAAAGAGAATATGCGTGTGATTCCGCGTATGCAGTGTTTCATACATCTGAATTTTTTACTGCGTACGCACATTTACAGCTTTGTGCGTTCGCAATGTTTTAGTATGATTTCAACGCTAGTCTTCGTACATGAGGCCCCAGGATCTTGATTCAGAAGCAAATATTCATGACATATAACCAACATCAATCAATTAAACCAAATCTGAATACCTTGAGATGTCCTGTTGTCCCGGTCTTGTCTAAACACAGTGTTGTACATTTCACTAGTGTAGAACTGCTGGTTATTATCAATAAACAGTTGCTCTATCCTCTTCATCAGGTCTCTAATGTCTGACTTCTTGTTCATGATCTTGCTGCAGGTGTGATATCTTCCTCCACATTTCTCAATCAGCTGCTCCAGAGCCAAGTTTTTCTTCAGGTCATCGATTATAGAGTCGGACTCTTCCTCGTTCTCATAGGTGAAGAGAATCATCACAAACTTATGAACTCTGTCTCCAAAAACACTTTGAAGCCACTCAATACCCATAAGACCTGCATCTGATAACTGTCCAAGTCGCACAACAAAGACGAAGGCCACTATTTTATTTTCACTGACAATTTGACCTGCAATTTGATCCAGATCATGTGCAGATTCATGCAAACCAATCAGATTAATCACAGACACATGACGTCCTAATATCTTCTGCAAAAGAAGATTTCTGGATCTTGCTACATTTCCGATATTTGGTTGTGTGTCTCCAACAAGAATATTGTCATCTTGAAACTGGACTGCCACAGTGTTTCCAAATAACACAATGGTAAGATTATTATCTATAAACACACACACACACACACACACACACAACAAACATTATATTATTCAATACCCTGCAATATCAGAACAGAAAACTAATACCATCCAGCAAATGCAAAGAATCAGAAATTATTTTCATACCCATACTGTTGAGCGAAAGAAGAGTCGAGACACTCGAGGTGCCCTGCTCATCAGGATTGAAGATAAAGCTGTTCATAATTCTAAAAAGGATAAAGTAGTTAAAAAATCTTCCATCAGGGTGTTACAGTGTGCAAGATCATGTGTATAATGTCAACTGATTTCTGTTCAAAGTGTATCTTTCCAGATAACTAGCTTGTGTTCATCGTTTAATTACTCTATGAGTATCAGGTCATAACTCCAGAGACTTTAACCTTTCCTGTTTGGTGAAAATCCAGTCTAACAAGATCTGAAGTCTGATGATCTTTACTACATCACATGCCTTCTTTTCTAAAAACAGCTGACCAAATACACCTGTATCTGTTTACACTAGCTTTCAAGTAAAAGAAAATTAGGTACAGTACAACGTACATGCTAAATAATGCTGGGCTGTATTAACCCAAAGTTGGGGAAAATATTGACAAACTCAACAGTTATTGAATTTTTATTTTATAAATAACAACAACAACAACAACATTGGGTTAATGCAGAACAGCATTTTTTGTCTACTTGTACTCTAATTATTATTATTTACTTTAGATTTTTTCCACACAACCCCAAAGGCTGCTTTTTTTTATTAATACCAACAATCTGTATGATGTAATTCTGTCAGAAAATAAATATTTTAAGGTAAATCTAAATATTTAATAAATATTTCAAATATTTGAATATTTGAAATTTGTTCTTCAGAATTTTTTACTGAAATATTTTTGAAATTTGCCATTTTGTGTTTTACCTTTACAAGTATAACAAGCTATGACAAATATGGTTATTTAACTTTGACATTTCATATCTTGGACACTAAAGGGTAATCATGAGCCATAAAAATACATTACAAGGCAATAAAAAATAATCTGCTTTCTTACTGGGTGTGTCATCTCTCCTGAATTTCATGAGCGTCATATGATCCACAGTACAGTATGTGAAAGTGAAAATGCTTCTCTGTTTTGTACACGTATTCGCTTTTTGTAATTTGCATTACAGTACAAAGCCTATATTCAACATTAACTTAACACTTAAACATCTTAAAAGTTCAAAATTAATGATTTGTAATCAACAAACAGTTCACCAATTTCAATTGAGAAGTGAATTTTCACTGAATCACTGAATTTTGTGAGCAAATAAACAACATAATCTTTAGTTATGACAAATTACTACAATCATTTATGACAGCTTTACATAATGCTGTTAGAATCATTAACCCAAATTAACTTTTTTGGTTCTAACAAAATAGCTAAAATCCATTAAAAAAAAAAAAAAAAAAAAAATTATGTTTATTCCTTTTTATTTTTTTTGTGCTAAAACTAATTTGTGTGTGTGTGTGTGTGTTTTACCTTGTCCACGTCGTCGTAATTTTTCATGCCATTAGTGATGAGTCGTTTGCGAACCAGCCGCATTTATTAAGAGCCGACTCTTTGTAGCGAACAGGTGTATTCGACGTAAACAGTCGTCGGTCACCGAGTTGAGCCGAGCGCAGCCGAAGGCGGAGCCGAAACCGAAACTCTCGGGCTCCCGTAGTTTGGTGCAGTCAAGGCAGATTACATGGCTTGGTCAATGAGTTTTGTTATTGCATTAGCAAGAGAAGACACAGTATTGAAACATGGTGTATAAATGTAAATAATAATTATAATAATCATGAATTTCAGGACCTCTATTTAAATTCAAACTGGACAATTAAACTGTAATATCATAATTTTTTTAATCTTAATTTTTGTTTATTTTTATTTCTCTTGCTCTTTTGTTTATTTTTTTCTCTACTTGTCATAATATGTACGATTGACTTATTGTGTAAATTGTATTTGGTGTAATGTGTTCATGTGCAATAAAATAATTATAATTCTTAAGCTGTGGAAAGCTAAAAAAAAAAAAAAAAAAAAAACATGAGGGAACAGCAGCCTGTATACAAATCAAACTGAAAATATATAAATTTATTTATTTATTTTTTATTTATAATTTTTATAGATTACTTTTTATCATACAAAGATTATAATACAATATGTATTATAAATACAAGATTAAGCAGAGCTCAAATTATTTGTTTTAATAGCTTTCTTGTTAGATGTTGAAATTTGATTTGTTTTAAAATGCTAATTAGGGTTTACATTTATTAAACTTATATGGATATCAAACTTTTGGTCCCACTTAATTCATGATAGTAACAACTAATTAACCAAAAGTAGTAGCTAAAAAAACTAATTAGCAGCTTAGGTGGGTAATAAGTAGGTAATAAAGCGATATTGTAAATATTTAAACTAAAGCTACACCAACCTTTCCATAATTTACCATAAAAAATATGACGTTTGTGCAAAAAACAATAAAAAAATCTTTACAAATATTTTGAACAATGAAATCATTCACATTAAAAATAATAATAAATTGAACAAAAAGACATTGCCAAAATTGAGCAACGCTTTAGATGAACATTTCAGAGAAAGAGCCAGATATATTGATCACATTTAAATCGGTCATGCCACAGCAAAAATAAACAAATAAATAAATAAAAATAATGTAAATGCACCAATAATTTATGTTAAACAAAATAGATTTTTATAGATTTTTTTTACCACCACTGCGCACCTATATAAGATAATATATATACTTTTTTTTCCAACAATGTAAATTTGCTTAAATTTGGCTTTTGCTTCGTATTTCATAGAGACATTGTGTATGTTGTATCAAGTCATTCAAATTTGAATTGGTATCCTTTAAAAACCAACCATTTTTATTGTTGCTGATAATGAACCTAGCATGACTGCTTATTTACACCAAAACTGTGTGTTATATACTCCTCCCTTCTTTCAGAATTCTGTTGTCTTAATAATATTTTTATTTAATTTTTACATTATAATTATTTTCATTTAAACTGGCACTGGTAGTAAAAAAAAAAAAAAAAAAAATGCAAGAAAATACCTTGGCACTGGATGTGTGTGTACAAAGATGTGCGTGTTCTCACCATAGGAAAAATCCAACAGTGCAGGGACAGCCAGAGGGTACATTAAATTGAAATGAAAAGGAGGAAACTATGGAGGCTTTGTAAATGTATCAAACAACAAGAATAACAATAGAAACAACAATTAATAAGTTATTTAAAAAATCTCAAAAACATCTAAGTCTTTGCATGCTTTCACTTTGATACTTCAGATTTATTAGAGGCGGACAGATTTAAGAGGAAAAATATTTTGCATGCAAAGTATAAGCTGAAAAAAAGAAAATTTTTTCAAGTCAAGTCAGTTAATTGCTTCTTTTATAGTTGGTAAATTATTGAAGAATCTTTCTAAACTGAAATGATCAGAACTAGACACAGTACCTTTTAAGGGCCAATCCAGAATGAAGGTTTCTGAGGAGTGAAAAATCTTTATTGTCAAACTTGCACATTTTTTTTTATTGCATAACAGCATTATAAATAAATTCTCCTCACAAAGAGACACACCCTAATACAATAATACCTTATTCAGCTCCAAGACAGCCTAATGTACAAATTACTTCTTAAATTTCACTTTATTACAATTTGGGACTCTAAAAAAATGCTTAGACTTTAAAGGTGTAAATTCATGATGCAACATGACTAGGGTTCGAAATTGTACCTTGCCAGCCTTGTGATATAAACGGTCCTACAGTATAATTTCACAAGAGGCTTTCTTAGTGTCTTTGAATAGATTTTAATCTGGTTCATCAACTTTGTTTTTAGACTCTGACAGACTCATATACCATACAGCATTCCAATACTGCAGAACACTCATAAGTACAGACACACACACACACAAAAAACATTTTTTTAGATGCTCCAAAAAATTGATTCCTTGTTTTACTTAGCTTACTTATCTAATTATTAGTTCAGAAAAAAAAAAACTTGGCAACAAAACAATCACTGCAAATGACTAAAACAAACAAACTAACAAACTATAAATAAAATATAGTTGTCTACCAAATTATTATACAATCAACCCTACAGATTGTGAGTTTTGTGTCATCCAAAATAAAACGCTAACATTTTTACTAACCGGAAATTCAAACTGTTTTCCATTCAATGTTAAATGGTTGCCAAATTATTGAAATAAATTGCCAAACTACGAAATTGCCCCTGTCATAAGTACAGCAGCATTTACTGTTGGTAGGTGGTGCAATCGCTTATGTAGCAAAACCAGAATTACATTCATTATTTAAACTTTAAAACCATTTGATAAAACCATATTTAAACAATAGCTCCTTTTTCCAAGAGTTCATACTTAGCTAATAATCAATAAAGCGTAATTGGCATGCTGTCCCGGAAGAGAGCCCTGAGCTCGTGATATCCTCGAGCCTGTTAAAAGAGCCAGAGGGGAGTTCGAGCTCAGGTAGGTCTCGAGAACTCCCCTGCTGTCGCCGTGTGAGAAGTGTTAACTTAGGTGATAATTTGGATTAGTCGATTGGCTATGGTGTATGTTATTGGACGGTGGGAGGAAACCAGGGAACCCGGGGGAAACCCACACGAACACGGGGAGAACTTAGAAACTCCGCTCAGAAACATCAACCGACCCTGTAGGAGGTTGTACCGGTTGTGTTCTTGCTGCAAGGCAACAGTGCTAGCCACTGAGCCACCGTGTCGCCCTATCAGAAAAGGGTGGAGAGTAGGGGTGGAAGGGGGGAAACTTCAAGTCGAAGATAACTGGAGTGAAAAATTCTGGTTCCCCTTCGGTTGGGGAACTTCAGTGCCATAGAGTGGATTGATTGAATCCACGAAATGGGAGGATTCGGTTCAGAAGCCGCTTGTCTGAAAGAGTATTGAACGGGCCAATGAATGCAATGAATTGGCAGCGTAAGCTTGCACAGGTGTACTTCATTGCCAATTATCCCAGCATATAAGCACACCTGGAGCGAGCAGACGCCATCATTTTCGCTTCAGAGACTTTCTGATCGAGTCGATGAGGGTTCCTCCTGCTGTGACCAGCGATTCTGAGCGAACGAGAGCATTCTCCCGGTCCAGAGTGTGTACACGCAGCGGCAGACGGTCGAGCTAGGTTTCTCCCTTGCCTGGCGTTCTTTGGGTCTGCTCCTCCAGAGCGGTGCGTATAAAGTTGCAAACTTCACAGACAGAGCAACACAGTCGTGCAGCACGTCCTTTTCAGGACGGCGCTCCGACTGTGCGTTTCTGGATGCGGTGGTTTCCTGTCCTCGGATGATGGGCACGAGCACTGCGTTGCATGTCTGGGGGGTCCAGTATGTTAATGCGCTGCTCGCGGGCAGTTCATGTCGTCATTGCGATGCCAT